CCCTCCTTTTAAAAATTATTTTATTATTATTATTATTATTATTTTTTCCCTTCCCAGAAGAGAAAAATATCCCCGGGAAGAGGTGTGAGCTGTCGCTGGAAGCCCACCCCAGGCTGGGTTACTGCCGGCCCTCCACCAGGCACAGCCTGCCCAGGACGCAGGAGGCCCGGCCGGCCCCGCCGAGCCGGGAGGGCCCCGCACAGCCCCGTCCGCTCCCCGCTGCCGTGCGGCGGGGTTAGGCTGCCTGGAAGTGCCAAGCGTTTCCCTTCAGGTGTGACGGATGGAGGTGGAGAGGAGCGCCCGCACCAGAGCTGCGTCTGCCCACCCACCCTGGCGCAAATGGAGGGGTTGCCCAAAGACGGGCCTCCTCCACGTCAGTGCATTACAAACCAGGCGAAACCTGCTGAAACGGCATCAGCTTTGCTGTTTGTCTACAGTGTTGCGCATGCACTGGCTGAACGCACCACTGCCTGGAGGGAAGCGGCAGATGGAGGGGCGCTCCAGCGAAGGAGCCCCTCGCCCTGAGAAGCCCCTGCGTGAGGAGAGGGACGTGTGGGAAAAAAGTGAGAAGCAGGGAGAAATAGAGGCTTTGCTCCAAGGGTGGTGGGAGGCCCCCAGCAGGGAGCGGAGGATGTGGCTCCCATTGCCCAGTTCCCGGTGCTTGGACCCGCATCCGCTCGCCATGAACAGCTACGTGGCAGAAACGCTCCCCTCCTGCCACCAGTTCCTCCTCCGGACAAGACCCCGGTCGCTGGTTGCTGGCTCAGGTCTAACAAGAGACCCATGAGGTCTCATCTACACGGGAAGGATCAGAAGAAACACGCCTCCCCCCGGCCTCTTTGGTTTTGCAAAAGGGGGGAAAGTGTTTGAAGCAGCTGGGATCTCTTCCAGCCGAGGGGGATGAGCAGAGGGTCGAGAGTCCGACATCTTTTCCCCACCCCGGCTTCAAAGTTTTTTGAAAGCAACGGGAGAGCACAGCACAGATCTATCAGCAGGCAAACAGACACGTGGGCTTGTCACTCTGTCCCAATTAATGCCATTTTCCATTTATGAGGATCCTTCACTCTCTGAGGAACGTACAGGCACTGAGAGGCTCTACGCATTGTTTGGGATCTGCCCTAATCCCGACAGCGCGTTGCAAAGGCAGCCTTTGTGAGAGGTCCCAGGTTGTCGCAGACAGAGGAGGGCTCATGGCGCGGGAGAAGACCTTGCGGCTGGAGGAGATGAAGTTTTTCAAGGAGAAACCGAAAGACGGGGCGAGAGCTCAGCCCCTTTTTTTAATTAATCATTCTAGTCACTGCTTGTTTTGCAGAAACTTATTTTAGGCTGTGGCGGTGGGATTTGCCTCCCGCTGCTACACCCAGGGGGGGAAAAGAAACAGCCCTACTTGTTTGCGAATCCGCTCAGTCCATTCAGCTGACATCAGAGAACGCTCTTCACTGCCCTTAAAAAAAGGAAACGGGGTAAAACCTGGCAGCGCTCACCGTTTCCCCGGCTGATGCGGGCGCAGACTGTCGCTCGTCAGAAAGTGTGCAACTGTTAACCCTCCCTCTCCGACTCTTGCGAGAAGGTAGCTTGACCCGAAAGAAGAAACACGACGGCTAAAAAAAAACAATCAGGTGAAATAATCAACGTTGCTTTTGCCGTCGTTTTCGGTCCATCGCTCGTTAATCTTCCTTTCTGAAGCAACGTCTCCCGTTCCGTATGTGCCTCCCGAGATCACGACCCCTTTTCTTAGAAAGCCGTTCTCCAGCTCAATATTTGGCTTTTTAAGGGTCAGACGCTCTGGCAAACCCTTTGTTGCTTTTGTTTTTATTCCTTAGGACCCTGATTTTGGACTCCAGCTCAATTTGGCTTTTTAAGGGTCAGACGCTCTGGCAAACCCTTTGTTGCTTTTGTTTTTATTCCCCTGATTTTGGATGTTTTAACTCCCATTTTTAGCATCTCGCATCTCTTCCTGGCTGTGCGCGCACGGAGCATGGCGAGGGC